GCGCACCGACAGACCGACCGCTCTTAGACACTGACCCAAACCTCTACAGTATCCAGAAATCGCAGAAGCCACCACATCCAATTATGGAGCATGTAAGTTCAGTTACAAGTTGCCATGGCAAAATAACCTCGCTAATCACTCTTAGGCGGTAGAAACAAACTGCATCGTCATCGAAAAGGCTGAAGAACACGGCGTGCGCAGCTACATTTTCTCTCCGTGCATTGTCTGTAAGTTGATATCGGGTCACATTTACGAGTTATATACTTATTGCCCTGAAGATGGAAAGGGAGAAGGCTTCGGAAACAAAGTCTCTATTCAAACTGTCTGTGTCGTGAAGGCCGCCAAAGCTTTGAGGAAAGTTTACAAGGTTGACGAAGGACGACCGGTAAGTCCTATGGATAACCCGGGGCTCGAGTGATGGCCTTTCTGCCTCAGCTCTAATCATTGCGAGATAGGTTTGGCCTGTTTGCCATGTCATAGACAACACAACATATTATCAGGAACTCCTACGCAAGATCTTGGCTGGCGAGAATCCGGGATATGGAAAGAATGGTTACTATCTCGCTTCCCCTGGCAGTGTCGCCTGGGACGACCTATATGGCGCGATGGGAACTGCTCTTCTCAAACACAAGCTTGTGGACGACGATACAGTAATACCGGCAAGCGAAGAAAATGTAGAGGCGATGGCAGCCGCTCTAGGAGTTCCTAAAGAATTCGTTGGAGTGTCTCTCGGTGGACTGTTCGTACCTCAAGGCAAGCTTCTTTACTTTTGCATATTTAGGCTAACATTGCATGCAGATGCACCTTCACAGCCGAGCACGGGAAGCAGATTGGATGGACACCACAGTTTGCTGCGGAGCACATTCTCGAAACGGCGCATGAAGAAGTCGACTGGATCTTGCAAAATCTGTAGCTGGGGTGAGGGGATGATTCGATACTACAACGCAGCTATCTGAGCTTTATGGGAAAAGAGGCACCAAGATTCCGCTTATAGACTACGAGCTTCTTCAAAATACGATTGGTAGCAAAACATTCAACAGTTAGAAAGATGCAATTGCCTACACTAGTATTAGCCACTTCAGCCCTGGTGAACCTGTACCGAAATGTCAGCCGTCGGCGTACTACAGGTCTTGGCTCAGCCCTACGTACAAGTCACCTGCCTGGAATAAGATTCTGCAAGCCATCGGCTAATCCAGATTAAGTTGATTGGTCAATTGTGTATGATCTTTCCAGAACACTACCCCTGAATCTGCCTCCAACAACGAATGGCGCTCGCAATGGCTTCAGTTTGATCAAGTTTTGATATGGCCTGTCCCAATAATGGCAACAAGCTCTTGTGCCAAGCACTTCAATATTATTCTCCCCGAACTAGATTCAGCAAGGCGTTTTTGGGTTGCTAAGGTTGGCGAATATGCTTAGATGGGCATGCAAATTGAATTCCGACGGCTGACTGGCACTGCCACGGAATGCCTATGAACACCACGGGACAAAGACAACCACATGTAGGCCTCTGCAAACAAAGCCTAGATGTCTCACAAGTAGCAATCTTTGGACTTCAAGGCGAGATCAGATGGTAGTTGGCTGTGTAGTACAAAAAGCTGCTTGCTCGCCTGTCCTTTTTCGATGCTGGCCTCGACAAACAACAGCAACTTCACTATCACACCATTCAGTGTCCTACCTAATCACCAATCTCAAGCATCACTCGTTCATCTATCTAATAGCTTTTACCTCCCGTCATGCACACCACATTCATGCTCACTGCCTTAACGGCATCGCTGGTCCCCGCGGCAGCATATCTCAATCCTCGCACGCTCACAAGCACCGCCGACTACCCAGACATTACCTACTCAGATGAGTGCCTCGATGGCCTCATGTCCATGGCAGCAGACGCGCCTTACCCGCCATCTGCCATCTTAGACTGGGAAACGCAGACCCAGAATCTCGCCGTACTCGCCACCGGAGGCCCATGTGCTATACAGACCGCCATCCCTTCGTCACTCAGCTCGGAGTGGGCCAGCTATCAGTCAGAGGTGATGTCGTGGTACACTGCGAATGAGGGCGAGATATCGTCTGTCCTTGCCCAGTGCCCAACCGATGTGGCAGCCAGTGCTGGGCCGTGCTCGACCGGAGTCGTGGCTGCCGATGCCACGGGGAGCTCAGGTGGTTCGAAGTCTAAGAACTCGGGACCAAGAGAGACTGGAATCGTTGCCGGCGTTGTCGCCGCGGCCGGATTCGTTGGTGCAGTCGCTATGCTGTAGTCTCAATTCTAAAGGTCATTTGGAAGGATACTGCTTGGGATAGCTCTATCTTGATTCGGTATCGAACGGAAAGGCAATGGACAGCATATACAAGATGGTTTTCAGTGCAATGGAACAATGCTCAAACGACCCGTACTTCTTCTCGTCCAATTCTGCCCAGATCTCGTGTAGATTATCCTAATATTCTCAATACTCTTTCCTTACTGAGAAGTGATATGAAGCTCACAGTTATCAAGGATTTGAATCCTCCAGTATTGGCGCCTGTAATTGCCTGCTTCTAGCGCTTTGCACGGCCCCTCACCGGGTGACTACAGGACCTCAAGGCCACCCCCGCCAGAGGCCACGGTCAGTCATTTAGTCAACTACTCATACACCAATCCTCGACATCAACTAACCTTCTTCATTGATATCATGGTTATCTAATCCATACTTTCGCAGTTTACTTGCTACTTGTCTAACTAAGGGGTTCTCAACCGATTTGTGATAGCAGCTCGGATCTTTTATGACACAAACCCCACCTAAATCCCAGGCAGCTAGCTACACAAGGCAGCAAAGGAGCGCCGAAGTCATACTCTTCTTTCTAGAGAGTTAGACCGTTGAGAGAAAAAGTAGTGTGCTTCTTCAGTTTTACCAAAGTAGATATTGGATTGCTAACAAAGAGCGCAAGAAGCCTCACCAAGCAAGACGAGCACTGGGTAGCCTAGCGAAATCTGCAGCGTGATCAGACATAAGATGGGATTTCTTGATATTCCCGTCGAGGTCCGAGAGCAGATTCTCAATGAATACCTTGATGGCCATACTGGCGAGATCCCCGTCAATCCGACATCGAGCATCGATGGCCGTGAGATCAAGGCCACCGGCCATATCTTCTACAAGAAGATCCAGAACCCCGCTTTGCCAGTGCTTCTAGTCAGCAAACAGCTTCAAGCAGAGATGGAAGGTGTTCTAAATCGCAAGAGGTCTCAAAAAGCCAACTACGCTCTTGACATAATGTATGTCAAAAGCTGCGGGCTGTGGCCAACCTGGCTGTCGGTACCAATCCTCACCACGAACATCGACACCCTTCACGCCACCTTTCGACTATTCAAACAACCAGACAACGTGCCCAAAGGCATGTTATATCCAAATATGTGGCGTGGCGGTGACGGAGGACCTCCGTCTGGGGTCTGGATCTTTTACAGGATGTTCACGGGCTTTCTCGAGCAGCAAATCGGTCCCTGGCCATGTCGCATCGAGGGGGATGCCGAGAAAATCACTGTTCAACGACTCATTATAGACGTGCTTACGCCGGTCGAGCCCAATATTCTACCTCTAGCACCAACAACGCGCCGTCCTGGACTTGATTACATGGGCCGATATAGTCAGAGAGCAGAGAGCACTCCCCCCTCGGCTGCACACATCTTTGCCAACTTCATCCAGCGTGAGATCGGCGGGCTGCTATGTATGGGTTACTATACGACGGGATACGGCAATATTCTGCACGAGAGGTTTGGATCTATTGAGATACAGGTTAATGGTACAAGGCATCATATGTGGGATCTCTCAGACCTGTTCTCAAGGCTTCCCTTGAGTGATGATCAATGGGGGACGTTCTCGGCCAGGGAGCGTAAAGCCAGCTATCGCCAATGGAAGCTGGACACGGCGGAGAAGCGACAAAGGGCGGGCTTCAGAGTGGTGGAGGAAGACAAGACGAGACGCTGGTGGGAGTGAGATCATCGTTTTGTTACAGATGCCATGTCAAAGGCAGGCAGATCATCCTGCTTACTTTTAAACCTCAAACACTCCTAGATAGTACACTTTTAAACCCCGAATCATAACCCATAACGCCATCATATTCCCTGTTTATCGTCAATCATCAGATCTCATGAACTGTTCGCAAAGAACTTGGTGATCTTTTGGCTCCCGTCGCTCTTAGTTTTGGCAGGACTCTTAGTGCCGTTGCTTGTCGCACTGATCTTCGCCCTCCCCAGCTTGCTCGGTGATGCTGTCTTTGTTTTCGTGGGCGACGGCGACGGCTGCATAGATAGCTTCTTCGTTGGGGTCTGTTCAGGAGGTTCATCCACCGCAGGCCGTTTAGTACCTGTCGGCTTTGTCATACCGCCGTCATCTGCATGCTGAGCAACTTCCTCAACCGTCTTCGTCTCCTTGATAGATGTATTTCCCGATTCTTTCTTGACTTCAACTTCGGGCTTCACTTTCGCTGGTGAAGGAGTCTCCTGACTGTCCTTCTTACCCCCTTTGGCGTTGGCAAAGAAGTTCGCTATATTCGACTTGTTCTCTTTGCTAGCAATGGGAATAATGAAAGATGGCGAGTTGTTGCCAACTTTCCCGACATCTTTGCTCACCGGATACACCTCGAGCTCGCCATCGAATGGCTTCAGAATATCCTGTAGCTCCTTCGACCATTCATATCGCGATGGATCAAGCCACTTCTTCATCTTTTCTGAGCCATGATCGAGTATAACGGGCATGCGATCGTGTAGGAATTTGAGTTGTTTGTTGGAATCTGTCGTTATTATCGTATAAGTGTAATTTTTCTGGTCATCATCTGTTTAGCCATGTCAGTTATTGTCCGAGCAAAATTAAGGCTGTGAATTTGGCCCACCTTCATACTGTACTACATCCCACAAACCCGCAAAACACATGAGATGACCGTCCTTCCTCTTGACAAAATGCGGTACCTTATCCTTACCCACCTTCAGCCACTCATAGAACCCCTGTGCAATCACAATACATCGCTTTCGTCCCTTCATCGATGCCCACATCCCACCAGCCATAGCCAGCGAGTCGTCTCGGCAGTTAATCGTCTTGAGCATCGAGCCGTAGTCTGGATTGCGTTTTGTCCAGAAAGGAATGAGTCCCCACTTCATCGATTGCAGCTTGTAGTGAACCTCGCCGGAGGATTGATTGTCTGTGGTGGTTTGTGCCTCTGCGGGAATGTTCGGGGTATCTTCGGTATCGGCTCCGTCTGTTTCTGTTGCCTTCCCCGCCGTCTTCCCGGCGCCGCGTTCACGCCGCGGCCCGGCACCCCAGTCTGGGACATCGGCGCGGTATACAACTCCATGATAGCCTGGGGCAAAGTTGTAGCTTTGGCGAGGCGCCCCCTCTCCTTCGTCTTCGGGTGCTTCCCAAACCGGCATGTCGTTGGCTTCGAGCATCCGACGTACCTGCGATGGCCGCTTTGAGGCAAAATTAGTCAAGCACTTGCGAAACAGATAGATAGAAGGAATTCAAAGCTTGAGTGTCAGAGACAGGGGAGATGCAAGTGGGAGCCGACATTGGGCAAGAATCCTTGGGAGAACGAGGCATCGAACGTACCAGGGCTAAGGAGTATCTTCCGCACATGGCGAAATATCCAATCCTCGTGCCGAATAGCTAGATGAAACTTCAAAACTGGATGAAGGGACACCCTGCAAGCCTCATTTGGCTTGAGATGTAATACTTGAGGCTCGTGGATGACGTTTGCGACAGTCTGTCAAAGCTGAAGCTATGACGCAGGCTATAACGTGACGCTACTCCGCTCACCCCGCGATGTCCAACGCGACTGCACGTGACCTGGCCAAGGGGATCTAAAGTGGTTCGGACTTCCTCTGGCGGTAATCCGGCATCAGGATACCCGGAATCAATGGAAAGTTTGCCCGCCAACAATGCGGCTTCTGCGGCTCTAGACGACCTGCAAAACGGCTCAGCGACATCGGGACGGGCCAGCTGTGAGTCAAAAGGCTTTTTATAGGTCAATGGCTCTAGACAGCCATGAGGCGCGGCTTCTGGCTCCATCTGGTCCCATCCGCAACCTCAAAAGAGCACTTGTCTCATGACCCGAGGCTCCGTCAGCCCACACCGAGCCTCTGAGTCAAACTCGGCCTTCGGGACCTGCGATGACGGTCCTTTTGGAAGAAGTAGCTATATCAAAGCGTCTGAAAGAAGTCTTTCAGCCCCTTTTATGCTTTAGGATTTCTTGCTGTAGGCCCATCATCAGAACCAACATCTGAAATTTACAAAACACATTTGATTGTCATATACACTCTTTCTCATACACACAATTCCAGTTACTGAACACACGAATGAGGAACTTGCAGAAGAAAAAAAGCAATACTGTAACAATGCGCCGTGTCTCTCGTCTCCATCGATCATCCCTCCCTCAAATCTCCGCAAACAGACTGGCGTCTACTATCAGTGTAGTGAGAAGACCGGCATTCCCCTCGAAGCCCCTCGTCTGGCAACCAATCCCCCTTGCTGAGGCCGGCGCTTCGAAGGTCCGCCCTCCTGCACCGATGACTGCCGCAGTACCACAGCAGCGTGGCATAGCCACGTCCGTTAAGCCCGCTGTCGAGGTGGAAAGCGCTGTCGGGTCGGAGGCATCAGTGGTGGAAAGCGTTTCACAATCACAGAATCACTGGTTGAGGTTAACATGAGCGTCCTCATTCTCTTCTGAGAGAAAAGAAGAAGAAAAGACCTTGACACATACCCCTGCCGACTGCTCAAGCAATAGCCATTACCGAAGCACGAGCTTGGAGTTTGAGTCGACAGCAAAACCAGCTGCCACTTCAACAACACATCTACTTCTTACGCTTAATAACACATAACAGAAACACGTGGCCCAGGAGACACATCCTTTCCTCTACCACCGCTCCTTGTGAACACATGTCGACGCAAACAAGATTGAAGGCAATTAGGGTACAATCAGACGAGCTCTGAGGAGCTTATTTGTTCAAAATAATATTTGCGTTTTTACGGAAAATCTCAACGAATACAGACCCCGTTTAACGGAGCTGGCTATAGACAAAAGCTTTTATTTGATAGATTAACTCTGTAGATCAATATTACAAGCGTTGGACGTCAATTATGATCCAACACGCCATATGTTCACACTCTAAGCCGACTTAGCCAAGCATGCTTTAACCAATGCGCTGTCCGTCCAAGCATTGCCGTTCTTGGTCGGGACCTCACTCAGCTCATAAGTCTGTGAGCTGAAGGCTCCAGCGCTCCAGCCAACGATGCCAATGAAGACATCGCTGTTCTGATTCATGAACGTGACCTGCTGGCACAGATACTTTTCACAGCTCGCAGTGTTACCACCACCGGTCTCAGTGTTGATAGCCTGGCGCTTGTTAGTTCGCAGCCAGTCCGCCAGCGGCGAGAATGCGGTGCTGATGTTATCAGTCACGCATTCGGTGTGAGTGCCGCTGTTGTCTTGGTCCAGATACTTATGCACGTCGAAGATAAGCCCAGTGGTGGTGCCATCGGGGTTCTGTACTTTGAGAAGAGCTGGGCCGGACTTTGTAGGAAATGCTTGAGCAGATGTCCAGCTAGTCTATGATAAGCCACTAATACCAAAGATGTTGACAAGCAGATACTTACTCGTTGCCAGGAATGAGGATAAGTTGCGACTTAGCTACTCCACGGATAGCGGTTACCACAGCTTGTACTGTATCTGCCCATTTGTTGATGTCAGGGACATCATGAGGCTTCATTTGATATCAGTAGTTGTCCATTACTAAGATAGAGAGAAGGCATACCTCATTCATGAGACCAAACATGACCTTCTCCTGGCTTGCGTATTTTGTCGCCAGTTGAGTCCACAGGTTCACGAACTGATCATTTGTCGGTCCACCTTGGCCGATGATCTGACCATTCCAGCGGGCATCTATAACACAGTTAGATGGGATGCCATCGTACATTTGAAGTTACACCTTACAGTTGTGGATGTCAATCACACAAGCTGCGCCAGTAGCTAAGCACCCCTGAACAAGCTGATCATACTTCCCAAAGTTGGTGGCATCAAGTGTGCCACCAAGCTGATTGTTGACGAGCCACTGCCAGCCAACTGGAAGGCGGAAGATGTTGAACCCATCATCTTTGGAGAAGTGTTGCATTTGGCCCAGCCCATCAGGGCCTCCAAGTGTTGACAGAGGCGGATAGGCCTGAGATACGTTGCAAGAGCCTGTCGTAGCACAACCGAAGTCAAATCCAGCAATATTCGTTCCCACTGGTGCATCTTGTAAGCCATGATATCACGATTTAGGAGATGCTTCGACTCACGGTATTGCATAGCTCCTGTCGAGTTCCCTTGGCGCTTATACAGAGCTGGCGGTGCTCCAATGACAGCACCTACCAGCGCAAGGGTCGAAAGAATACTGGTATGCATCTTATAGCAATGTAAATGGTCGTCACACAGCTGATTGAGCGCAACACGGTCTGAATGAAGCCTTGGATGTGTTCAAGCGATGGCTCGATGAAGAGTTAAGACCAGCCAAGCCTTGGAAGCGACATGCATCTTATATATTCCGCTCTTGGCGCACAGAAAGCCTTTCTAAATATTCGTTCTTCTTGAAATGACGGAAGCATCTCGATGTTGATGTCACGCATTGGGAGCTCCGAGTTGGTCCAACTTCATGTGATACTGAATGTCATCGGGTACTCGTCATTGGCGTGCCTGATTCTTACTATAGCAATCTCAGATTAATTGTTTTAAGTAATATCATTTGCTATATTCCGGGCATGAGTGGCGGAGCTCAATATCAAGCTTCTCAAGTGATTAAGTTCTTGTTCCGCGACCCAACATCCTGCTTTGAGGGGTCCTATATCAGAGCCTATTTAAGGTAAAGATGACCATAGATGTCTCTTCGAGCGCAGCAGAGCGGACTGAACTTGAGATTTTCGATGCATAACAGAGCCCTATAATGAACACAACAAACGGAAGATTATTGCATTCGCATTGAACAACGTTTACAATGTCGTGGCCCAACATCGGCAGTCGTGGCATTGAAGATCCACTAACGCCCCTGCAGTGGCGCCGTACCGCTCTCGGTTAACAGGGGGTTGTGCCGCAGATTGACAGCCGTGACAGATTCACCTACACTACAACCCAGCCATTAGTGCGGGGCATAACAATAGCTGCCGAAAGAGGCAATATGGGATTTACACCATCTCGAGGCTCGGCGAGATACTTCCGTTAATGGAACGGCCCCCAATTTCGCGTTTGGTCACCTTTCCTATCCGTAACAGATGATTACTTAAATGTGCCTCTCTGTTCAGATGTCTTTCTTGCAGTTCATTGTCTTCAGGTAGTTTGCAATACCATCTATCTCGGAACCCGGCAAT